TTCACCATTGAGAATAATGTTTGCTAAAGGTTTATCATATATGGCTTTTATTATGTTGAAGTAGGTTCCTTCTAGGCCCATTTTTTAAATAGTTTTTATCATAAATGTGTGCTGAATTTTGTCAAAAGTTTTTTCTGCATCTATTGAGATTATCATATGATTTTTATCTTTTACCTTGTTAATATGGTGTAACACGTTGATTGATTTCCATCAACAGATGAATTGATAATAAAGTTGTGGTACATATACACAATGGAATACTATTTAGCCATGAAAAGGAATGCATCTGAGTCAGTTCTAATGAGGTGAATGAACCTAGAGCCTATTATACAGAGTAAAGTAAGTCAGAAAAACAAATGTCGTATATTAACACATATATATGGAATCTAGAAAGATGGTACTGATGAACCTATTTGCAGGGCTGCAAAGGAGGCAGAGACATAGAGAACAGACTTGCAGACACAGTGAGGGGAAGAGGGGGTACGAATTGAGAGAGCCGCATGGAAACATGCATATATCATATATGAAAACAGCCAGCCAGTGGGAATTGGTGTATAAATCAGGGAGCTCACACCCATACTTTGTGACAACCTAGACGGGTGGGATGGGGAGGGAGATGGGAGGGAGGTTCAAGAGGGAGGGTTCACATGTATGCCTACGGCTGATTCATGTTACTATATGGCAGAAACCAATGCAATATTGGAAAGCAATTACTCTCCAATTAAAAATAAATAAAGAAAACAGAAATCAAACACAATAAAAAATAATGGGAAAGGGTCTCAAAGAAAAACAGAAATAAAAGAATGAAGAGCAACAGAAAGGGTAAATGTAGGTTAAATTTATAAAAGGAGGTAAAGCTCAGTTTTATGAGTATTTTGTTCAAATCTTCCAATTTGCAAAATGGCTAACTAGTATACAAGAACAACTGGAACTAATATAAGAAACTGCTACTCTAAGGGATGAAAAGATGATTTTCATTTTCTTAAATATTTTCTAAAAATCTCCCTTGTGTATCTGATGCAGATTTGAATATTAGTGGGTGGGTATTTTTAACTGCAATATCTAACAGTAAAAATAAAAATATATCAGTTGAAAAGGAGGTGGTCCTGGGAATTCTCCGGTGGTTCAGTGGTTCAGACTTGGCACTTTCACGGCTATTGGCCTGGGTTCAGTCCCTGTTGGGGAGACTCAGATCCTACAGGCTGTGCAGTGTGGCAAAAAAAAAAGAAAAGAGGGTGGGTTTCTTATAGCTGCATGTGAACCAACAATTATCTTGAAATTTAATTAAAAACAAAATTTAAAAATAAGAGGCAACATGGTGACAGTCACTTATATAACTGTAATATTACAAGAATCAATATTTGTGGCTTAGGTTAGAATTTCTAAAGACAATCCTGTATATATGGATTTAAAAGTTCTGTATCTCAACTTTGAAAGTAGCAAAGAATTGCTTTGATAAGTAGTATGAGATGACATAAAAAGTAACTTGAAGGATGAGAAAGATACTGATGTTATGAATTGTGAAGAATTCAAATAAAAGTTTCACAAAACACGACAGATATGTCTAAATTATATGTTACTTTTTAAATGCATATTAAACAAAGTAAATTAACAAAAAAAGTATCAACAGATCCTTGATTCTTTTGGCTATATTCAAAAAAAGTTTACCTATTCAAGGTGGCCCAAAAGCTTTAGTTTATGCTTTCATATTCTCCTGGGCAAATTGTCCTGTATTGTAATCACCTGGTATCCATGTATATGTGGTTAAGACATAGCCCAACATATCCTACATCTCGTGGTTTGCTTAGCATCCCTGAGGACCTTATCAAAGAAAAGTGCTTGGTCCTCCAGGAAATTGCTCCTTTAAGAGAAATAAGGCAGAATTCTAGAAGAACTTTATTTTGTGCTGATGAACACAGGGTGATGAATACTTAGGTTTAATATTATGTTGATTAATGTACTCACTGGTGATTGGTTAACAATCTCTAACTTCTCCAAAGTGTACTGAACTTTGGCCAAAGTGTCCTGGGTAGAAAATAACCACCCAGAACTGCCTCTTGCTCAGCAACACTGTGACCAAGCTCAGGGTTTGGTCTGGCAGCATCTATGAGGAAAGGCAAGGCTCTCTGCTCCAGTCATTCAGAGGCTGATGAGTGAAGTCACTTCGGAGGGCTGACTCTCTGAGCTGTGATGGAATCAAATTCAGACTTGCGGTGCTCTACATTTGTCTCCTCCTGGCTTTTATTTTCCTAAAGACTCTGCCTTTAAGGCTTCCCTGGTGGCTAGTTGGTAAAGAGTCTGCCTGCAATGCAGGAGACCCGGGTTCTATCCCTGGTTGAGGAAGATCCCCTGGAGAAGGAAATGGCAACCCACTCTAGTATTCTTGCCTGGAGAAGCCCATGGACAAAGGAGCCTAGTGGGCTACAGTCCATGGGGTTGCAAGAGTCAGACGTGACTTAGGGACTAAACCTACCTACCAGCCTTTGAGGAGATTACACAAGGTGGCCCCAAAGGACATAGTGGCATGCCTTTGAGAAGAAGCAAAAATAAGAGAAATTCTTAGAGAGGATTGCGGGCTGAGTGCCCCATGCAGCATCAGGCAATGGCAAGTTCTTGAAGGGAAATCACTGTTTTTCCAGACCCAAGGAAGCCCAAATTCGCCAAGAAACCCTGTGCCCTAAATGCAGTGTGTGAGCCACAGAAAAGAAAGACTTGAGGGGACCTCACGGAAGGCTGGAATGTGGGCATCCCAGTGAGGATGAGTGTGGACAGAGGATCAAGGCAAGAAGGGTTTTCCAGAAACTAGGGGTCAGATGGAGACAGAGACCAGATCCCCCGATCCTCAATTTCCTCATGAGAGATCTCACAGATCCTCTTCTGCAAAATCCTCCTTTTACAATGGAGAACACCAAAACCCAGAGGTCAGGGATGCGGTCCCAGGCTTCCCACGGGGGACCAGCAGCCCAGGAGGACAACGGGGGCTTCCCCGGCTGAGAGTCATCGTTCCTTCCATGACACCACCCTGTCCTTTGGGAACCATGTGAACAACAGATTAGAACTGGTGGGCGCTAATTGTTTCCGTTCATTCCGATCACTAGAATATATGACCTCTCCACCAAGATAAAAAAGAACAATATAACTAGGTATTTAGAAAATTTAGAACTCAGAATTTGGAGGTCAGATCCCGGACAAGGCTCTGCTCCTGACCAACTAGGAAATTATTAGGCTCTTCTGAGATTCTCTCTCCTTAAGGACAGAGGGTGGCACACTTCTGCTGGAAAGTAAATAGTTAGACTTTCCAGGCTAGACCGTCTGTGGCAACTACAACAGCGTCTCTCTACTGAGCTCTGCTGAAGCTCTGCTATTGAAGCACCAAGGCAGCTAGAGACAAGACTTGGAGGCGTTCATGTGGCTGCCTGCCAATTAAATGTGACTGTGTGCACTTGAATCTCATAATTTTCAAGTGTTATGCAATATTATTCTTCTTTTGGATTTTTTCAACCATTTGAAAATATGCAGACAGTAGAAAAAGAAGTGGCATGTTGCGGTGGGATGGGGGCGGTGGGGGTGGGGGTGGGGAGCTCAATTTGGCCCTTAGGCTACAGTTTGCCAAGGTCTGCTTTGGAAAAGAACTTGAGACTATCTGCTTCACTTGACTTCATTTCGAAATGTTGCACAAGGAAATATTGCCTAAGAATAGGGAAGCCCTGGTTTGACCATAGTTTGAAAAACAGTGATCTAGAGAGTTTAGTTATACACATATAATTAATGCGAACCAAGATTTCAGTTGTAAGTGGTGTGACATGATGAAAAATGAATGTAGTTCTAGATTGCTTTAAAGAGACAAATAGCATCCAGGGGACAAGAAGAAATGATCTCAATATAATCTCCAACTCACGTGGTTTAGAACACGTGTACTTCTGAGAGCCAATTTTAAGGAGACCAATAACAAATCTGGTGGTACCCCCTGGTGGGGGAATTAAGATGTTGAGAGGTAAAACAACATTTGAACGAGGAGGAAAGGTTGAGACTTATCCAGAAAGAACTAGAGCCAATGCATATCAGTCAAAAGAAGGCAACATCAGTTCAACAAAGTAGTTTTCTGGAGGTGGAATTGTCCAATAGTGTCATGAGCTGTCTCCTACAGTGAGAATATTCCCATCATTGGGAACATTCAAGTATAAGCTGGCTGACCACCTATCAAGGATGTGGTATATTGTACTATATGGCCTGGGAATATGATCAGCTAAACGACCTTGAAGGTTCCTTTCTGGCTCCAAAATTCTAGGAGTGTACACAATGAGTTAATGAACAGAAAAGCACTATGCAGTGACTTGATGCGCAAGACACTGGGAGCCACAGCGCCGCTGTGTAAACCCTCTCTTCCCTACAGTCCTGAAGACGGTGACAAGGTTCTCAGTCTCCTAGCTCCCATCTAAACCAGCCTTGCCACTAGCCCAGGCAGCTCACTCCCCAGCGCGAGGGATGTGCGGGGGTGGGGAGGGGGCCAGGTAGCACTGAAAGGGGGACAGGCTGTCCCCTTGGCTCCTGCCTGGAGCTCAACTCGATCTTGTGCTGGGGACAAAGATTTCAGTAACTGGATTAGCAGTGAAAGGGTGGAATCAAAGAGATGTACCGCTTCAAAGGCAGATCATAGGAAGGAGAGAGGGGCAAAGAGAAACTTGGGGACTTCCCTAGCAGCCCCCAAGACTCCGTGCTTCCAAAGCAAGGGCCGCAGGTTTGATCCCTGGTCGGGGAAGATCTCACATGCTATGAGGTGCGGCCAAAAATAAAAATAAAAAAGAGATGAGAAACTTGGAAGGAGAATGGTACTCCCCAGCCTTCTCCCAAACAATCCTTGGCGTCAAGCCTTTCCTAGCTCTGAGTCTGGGGCTGAAAGGACGTTCCCACTCCCTGTCCCATTACCCTGTGCTTGGAAACCCATTTCTACTGACAGGAACTGACTTTGGGTGTTGAAGTGAAAAGCCTGAGTGTCTTACCCTTCTCGTTCATCATCCGTGTTGTAATACACCTGTGGAACAAAACAGCAGACTTACTGTAGGTCAGGCACAAGAAATGGAAATATATCACGTGATGCACAGACTTTCCTAAGACATTACACTGTCTCTTAAAAAAGGCAAATCTGTTTAACCATTTGTGTGTGTCTCATACAAATCTGTGTGTGCCCAATACAAATTTAACCTCTTCAACAGTCTCCTTAGGTTAATTCTTAGATGTTAATGAACTGAAATTAGAAATCTAACTATTTCTAGCTCAAATCAGTCTGATCAAATTACCTATAGCCCAAAGCCAAACCTTGCTTTAGACATTAAGGAAATATTTTAGCAAGATCTAAAAATCATTGCTTAGAAAGGCCTTGGCACAGGGCCTGTAAGTAACCAATCCCACCCAGTCCACAGAGGAGCTGATTCCAGACCAGTTTTCTTTGGTAAAGAGAGGGAAGCAAGTTCCAGAAAGTAAGCCCAGGCCTTTGTTTATTTCCCAAAGGGACTTGGGCTACCCTGGTCCCACGACCACAAAAATCTAGGAGTCAACTATCTTCAGGCCAGGAAATGTCACCTAGCCCTAGGAGGTGTTTCTGGCTATAGGAGGAGTTCTGGCCAGAAGGGAAAGAGACTTCTTTGGGTGGTCAGCATGGCAACGGGCCTAATCAGATTTAAAGACATTATGAAGCATCCTTGTTATTTTATGCAGCTCTGGAAATCCAGAGGGGGAGCTGCTGTGTATGTTAAGTCCCCTTCACCCAGTTATTTATGGCAATTAATTGTGGGCCTTTCAAGAGCTTTAACTATGTGCTTCAGGATCATTTTCATTTGGGTGAAGAATGACACTGGTTAGTATCTGACATTCACAGACTTAACTTCAAAAATCACCTCTGGGTTCCTGTCCATTTCATCAACGGCCCTGCCACAGCCGCCTGGGTGAGAAACAGCTATGTGGAGACCAACACCCTCCACATAGACTTTCTCAAAGGCTCCTGCCAGTTTCCAGGCTGCGGCCAAGCCCGGACTTAGTTATACAACAGAGATCGTTGCCTGGAACTCTCCAGGAATGAGCCATGCTAGTCGTTAGCTGAGGTTTCCACAGGGAACTTTTTCCTCTGAAACTTTTTAATGTCTATGGTTGCATTGTATCCTTTCTTCTTAAACACGAGGCAATGAAGGCAAGACGTTTCCTCCCCACGCCCCAAGTTTCAGGGGCATCGGAGCACTGGTTATGCTCATAATGGACCGTTTATTTAGATGAATCCAGGGGGACCCACATAAGCCAGGGAGCCTGGGCCATAGTACTGGACCCAAGACTAAATTCGGGGGAAAGTGCCTGATGCTTTCTTGAAATGTGGCATAATACATCCGCCCTGCTTCACCAACCAGGTCAGGTAATGGACAGCCCTCTGCGAAGGGGACTGGTGATCCAGAACCAGAAGCAGCCTTCTGCTAAGTGTCCTCCTGGCTTCCTGAGCGGCTCTATTGCACTGTCCCCGTCACCGCCCGGCACTGCCATTTTGCCTCCTCCTCGCAGAGAATGACCCACCCTTTCCTCCTGGTCGGCCATAGTGCTTAACGCACAAATTTAATTTTTACACAGTGTTCTCAAACTTCAGAATACATAAAAACCATCCGGAGAACTTCTCATAAATGCAAATTCCCAGGCTCCCCTTTGGAGATTTTAATTTGAAAGACCTGGAATGAACCTTGAGAACCTGAATTCAAGAACGCCTGTGATTTGGGCGGAGGTGGTTCACACAAGCCACAAGTCAGGGAGATGGTTCTTGAGGGTGTGAGGGAGAAGGGATGTCCTCCCTGGGTTCAGGTGCCTTGAGGAAGGCTGATACCTGCCAAGTACAAATGATCCAGAGGAATGATGCCTCTGCATCCCACAATTTCTCCCAAGCTCCTCTATCACTTCTCTTCAAGGGTTCTTGACAAAAGCACCATGCGTATCCAGGCTTTAATGTGGGGAGAGGGAAACCAAAGACCTCCACTGTGCCTGCACGCTGGGTTCATGCTGTTTCAGGGGAGGACAGAATCTGACTCCATAGCGGATCTGTTTCTTTAACTTTTGCGTCCCCATTGCTTTTGTTTACTAAAAGGCCTGCCTGGGGAACCCTGCCCCTCTGTGAATTTTACAAAAAATAAGATATTAACACAACCTGTCCCCATCCCACCTCCCCACCACCCTCCTCAGGCTGGCCATTCCAGGAGATACTTGCAAGACTTATGACCTTTTTATTTTACTTCCTCACCTCCTCCCCATCTCTGTTCTATAAAAGAAACTGGCATCCAGGCCCAGAGAAGACAGTCATTTGGAGATACTAGTCTGCCACCTTGTTGGTCTGCTTGCTTTCTGAATAATGTCGTATTCCTTGCCTCCGCATTCCTTGTCTCTGATTTACTGGCCTGTCGTGCAGGGAGCAGAGTGAGCATGGACTCAGTAACAATGCCCTCCTATGAGTTTTTGATAACCATCTGGTGAATATTTCAACCCACGAGTGAATCAATGAGACAGTGAGGGACTGGGGGACATGTGGGCTGACAGTGAAAGCTAGCCGGCTGCTTGTTCGGCAGCTGAAGGGCGGCCACGCGGCTGATTTTGCCAGGTCCATAGCAGTGGCGGTTACTGAGCATCACACCATCACCTGCCTTCCTCCCTTCCATCCCTGCTCCCTCATGGGGGAACCGGGCCAGCTCGTGAGTGGCCACAGCTGGCTCTCGTTTGACCTGTCGAAGCTTGCCAAGCCCAGTCCCTTGCCCACTTCCAACATCACAGCACTGGCCTCTTCCCTCCGGCCTCTGGACTCATCCCCCAAGACTCCTAACTTTTCTCAGAACAGGCAGCCTTTTCTGACCGGCCACTGCAGGTGCTCTCTTCCTTCAGCCAAGCACGTTGATCAACCGCGGGATATTCACGCACTGACCCAGTGCACAGAAGAGTGTGTCCCTTCGTCACCCGGGGCTCAGCAGGCTCCCTCACTGACCCCCTACATTCTGACTCCAAAGCCACAGGGAAAGCCCGAGGCTCTTCAAGGACAGCAGGACTTAAACGTTGCTGATGCCCCAGGGGACGCTGATTGGGCTGCTTTGCAAACTGCTGAAACCAACAAACGGCAAAGACTACACTTTCCTTCTGCTCAGCCACAGGCTAGGAGTCCTGCTCAGGACACAGAGGGGGCACGTGAGACCAGAGACAGTCACGAGCTGTCACATTTGGTCAGTTTTCCTCTTAAGATTCATTTACAGCTTTGCGTATTTTAGGGAAATCTTGCCAAGAGAACAGGTCAGGCTGTCAGCTTTGACATAGGGTTAAAGCCAGAATCATAATAGTAAACAGTGAGAGCAGTTTAACTCAATCATCCCCTCTCTCCTAAAGGTGTGACTACCTAGCTTCAAAATATATCATGTATTTACAAAGACTGTAAATACACAAATCACCATGTTCTTGGGAATTAAAATATAAAATTAGGGGCTGGCACGCATGTCTTAATAAATCATAACGTTCTTCCTTTCATTTTCGTGTCTTTTTCCTATCAGACAAGTAAGACAAGATGAGATTGTTAAACTTTAATGTAAGGCACTCTAAGGAAAAAACTAGGGGATATTCTGCTACCCATATTTAGTTGGTGTTAAAAACACCAACTAAAAAGTTTTGGTTGTATTACTGTTTTGTCTCATACACAAAATAAAATGGCATGGGGACAAAATATTCTCAAGAAAGTTAAGCCAATAATGATTTCTGCTCCTAGACTAATGAATATCCAATGAATATCTTAACACTAGAACGGAAGAAAAACTTGAATGTGTCACTATGCACCTCTTTCTCAACAGAAAGACAATTCTGGCTAATGCTAGGGAAGTAATTTTTTTTAACCAATTTTAACTTATCACATAAAATAGACAATACTAAGGACATTACAAAAAGAAAAAAATACATATCCACCTCTTAATACTCACCAATTATTACAATTTTTCTTGTAACATCTTGCAAAAACTCCAAATGAACTTTCAGGCCAACCCAGTATTTGGAACCACAGTGTAGACACAAATGAATATTCTACCTTTTCCCCACTGAACATTATCATAACTAGTTCCTATGTTGCTACATAGTTTTCCTAATTATAATTTTAGTGGCTGCATAACATATCATTAACATGAGCTACCATAAGGAGCTAATTATTGGATGTTTATGTATTATAATATTATCTCTATAATTTTACTTGTAACTAGAACTAGAAGACAGAAATTATCTTTTAAAAGGCTTGTCTACAATCTCATTTTTATTTTGGCTTAAAATAATTTACCTATTCAACAGTAACTGTCAATTTACTAAGAAAAAGTTTTTAACAGTTTATTTAATCAAAGAATTTTCCTCTTAAGCAACTTTCCAATGGGTGCAGTTCAATTTCCCACCATTAGATGGAGCCCTATTGCATCATGAGGATCCCACAGAATAAAACTAACAAAACTTGCCTTACAGGTTATCAGCCTTCTTACTTTCTTCCTCTTTCATTGCTTTGTCAACACTTCACTATTATCAGCTCACTCTCACCTTCCCCTTAGTAAGTTGGTTTCCTCTCCTGAGACATTCCTTTCTATAAAATTACATTTTCTGTAGGAAATGGGTGACTCTTGGTTGAATGCATGGGTTTTATTTTTCAGGTCAATAGCGCCGGAAGTGATGCACTCTTAAGGCTCTACTTGCGCAGGGGAAGGATGGCAGGTAGATGTGAGCGGGTCGGCCATACCTGTCCTGTCCTCTGCAGGTTTGTAAAGTGAACATCAGGTATGAAGAGGACGGGCTGGGAGTGCAGATCAGGCATCATCTTGAAGTAGGTGATGTCGCTCTTCTTCTGTAACGGTATTGCTGCCAACTTCCCATCAGAGGCTGGGCACGATCACAAAACCCGTAAGTGCGAGGGCTGTAGATGACTTAAGAACTCTCACTTGTAAGCTCTAGTCTTGGCTAAAGTTCACGATTTTCTCCTATGAAGCATCCCAAATGCCATACGTGTGAACACACTTTAAAATCTCCCCTCTCCCATCACCAGACCAGCGGAAAGTGTGGACTTGGGAGTGAGCACTCCTGAGGGGGTGCTCTTGTGCTCCTCTCTGCACCCTAGATTTCTTGTCTGGAGAAGGAGGATGTTGGTCTCTGAACTATTAGAACCTCGCTCCTAGCTCTAGTGTGATCACATGATTCTATTTCCCTTTCACAGGGATGGTGCACCCCATCGCCTTGGCTAGTCACAACTTGTGCTGCACTTAGTTGCTCAGTCATGTCTGACTCTTTGCAACCACATGGACTGTAGCCCGCCAGGCTTCTCTGTCCATGTGGATTCTCTAGGCAAGAATACTGGAGTGGATTGCCATGCCCTCTTCCAGGACTTCCCAACCCAGGGGTCGAACCCAGGTCTCCCTCATCGCAGGCGGATTCATTACTGCCTGAGCCACGAGGGAAGCCCAGCGATAACTCGGACGTGCATATTTTACCTGCAACCCACTTCTTTCCACCCATTCCTCGGGGGACCTGGCCTGGCTGAAGCCCACCCCCCTTCGCAGCCACACTCACAGTTGTTGCACTGGGTTTGGGAGGCCTGGCCTTTCCCCTTCTTCCTGTTCTGCTTCCTCTCTTCATCTCGGATTTTTCTTTCTGCTCCCTGACAGGGAAAAACAAACGCAGACAATGCCAGGTATGTTACCAGGGCGTGCAAAACAGCTGTCCACACACAAGTCACAGGGGTAAGAAATAAAACGTGGGGAGGAGAGGCAGGCAGCCACGGTTCCATCCTCCAGCGAGGTCTACCGCCCCTTAGTCCACCCGATGTTGCTGACCTCCTTGGAGAGGGAGGGATCCCACTCCTCCCAAAGTCTCCCCTTTTTTGGTATCTTGCCTATTTAAACAACTCCAATTTTGAATTCCTACAGAAAGGCCAGACTCAGTTCCCCACCCCAGTGAAGCTGGTTAAGTAATTTTAGTGATATTTATTTAAAATAAAATGTAGGATGAAGCATTGGCCTATTATCTTTCCTAATCATGGAGTGGGCATGAAAGTTGAGTGTGAATTTCCTATAAAACTTTTCCTTGGCTCCTTGGTATGGAACTTTAAAAAATTTCTACAGAAGGGGAAATGAGGTAGGGCTGAAGCAAACTACACAGGGAGTGAGATTTTGTATATACAAGTACGATCTGGGGTTTTGTCTTAATATGTTCATATGCTCTTGGAAATAGCATTCAATTTGCCTTTTTGCTCCTCCGTTCCTTGTAATTTGACTTTTTCATTGGCTTCTCTTGCCAACTCCATCCAAATTAACCAGTTGACCGTCACCTATGTCTCTTGCCCTCTTGGTCTTCCACGATTCTTTGATTCTCTTCTCTTTTTGGTCACCCTTTGATGTCAGCTTTGCTCACTCAATTTCCTCTTCTCATACCCCAAATACAGACATTTCAACACAGTTTCCTTTTCCTTTCCCTCTCTCCATTCTTGTGGCAGAGAAGTTCATCTATACCCATATTTCCAAGGTGACAGATAGACAGATAGACAGGTGACAGATAAGACTCTCCCAGCCTAAACTCTTCCCCTCGATTTCAAATCCACATTTACTATTTCTGCCCTTTGGGGCAGCACATTTAAAAAATAGCAAAGTATGGACTGGTCAGCAACCTCTACCCCTAGAAAATCCCCAAGTTATCACACACAAAAGAGATAGATCTGAGAATATACAATTTAATCCTGTTAAATACACACAGATCAATTAAAAAGCAAGGGACAAGCTGGTGGAAATACTTGCTGTATAAATCTCATGGGCTGTGCTGGGCTTCATCACTCAGTTGTGTCTGACCTTTTGTGACCCCACGGACTGTAGCCCACCAGGTGCCTCTGTTCTTGGGGATTCTCCAGGCCAGAATACTGGAGTGGGTTGCCATGCCCTCCTCCAGGGGATCTTCCCGACCCAGGGATCGAACCCAGGTCTCCCACATTGCAGGCGGATTCTTTACAGCCTGAGCAACCAGGGAAGCCCATAAAATCTCATACAAAGTGTTAAATCAATAACATATAAATAATGATTCAAATTTTAAAAGAAAACAACAACTAACATACCAGTTAAAAAATGGACAAGAGTCACGAAGTCAATTCACAGAAAGGGACATGCTAATGGTTTAGAAGTAAAATATTGAAATATAAATTCTGCTTATCAAACTGGCTTTAAAAGAAAAAAAAACATATTCCCAATTCTGGCCAAAGTAAGGCCATGACACATGGAGACATGTGGCCAATGGAGGCATCCATCATAAAGGATATGACTTTAGAGCTAATTCTTGATGAACAAGTGATGACAGCTAATCAGATGTGGCACTTCCTTTGTGCCAGGAAAATTCTAAGAACTTTATGTTGGTAAGATTTGGATACTTATAATAGTTTAAATAGATATTATAAATGTGCATTTTTATGTCAAAAAGCTTCTTACTCCAAAAAGAGACTAATCATTTACAGTGTTCTATTTTAAGTTTTAAATTGTCACTGATGTTTATAAACCATAGAAATTCATAGAAAGAAGGAGATAAAATATAAAAATATTTCCTTGGAAAATCTCTTCAAGATATAGTAAAAGTTTTGTAGAGATTTTTGTCCAGATAAGATATAATATTTTCAGAAAAAAAAATAGAGTGCTAGATGCACAAAGATGACTTTGTTCGGATGGGTGTGAAACATAAGCAAAAGGCCCTTATTATTCATTTTTGGTTGTGTACATGTAAGACTTTTTTCTCTGTATTTGAAGTTCTGTACAATATAGTATTGCATGTAAGTCAAAATATAGAAATTTACCTACATAAATTATAACTCACTCAAGACACATCCCAAAGTTTGTTGAGCAATTTTATTTTAAAATTAGTCTTTTGTCTTGTACAATTTATGTGAAGAACAGTTCTGAAATTACCATTTCAAGATTTATATATGTTCAGTGTTAATTTTTAGGAAATAAAGTCACCTGCTTATTATTGTACAGGTATTCTTTGATACGCCAAACCTGCAGGATTAACATAAAACACGGAGTAGTTCTCCATAGAGCCTGGTCTGGGTACCACATATATGTAAGAAACTCCCTGCCCAGAAAGCCCAGATGTCAGCACACCAAAGCAATTCTGATAGTATCCAAACTTAGGAGGGCCACCATCCTCATATTTAAAATAACGCTTTGATTCACAGTGACCCAGGGCAGCTTTGATACATTCAATTAAGATGAAGAATGCATCCTTGACCGTGACCTTCCAAGAATTCCTTTCCTTCTTCTGATTATTTGTGACCCAAAGTTTCTGGAAAATATTTTCACTCTCATTAAAATGTAAAAAAGTCTGGTTCTTCCAGAAGGGTATAATTTGCTACAAATACCAAATTTATCATTTGAAAATAATTTCCCCCACTTAGATGTTCGTTATGGAGTGTTAAATTTGGAGAAAGGAAAAAAAGATGCCAGAGATTTCCTGATTATACTGTGATCACCTTTGCCATCTCTTGAGAGGTGATGGCTATGTTTATATTTGTATTTGATACTGTAGTTGTTTCTCTTAAATTTGTCTCAATAATGTGGCCTTAACCTATTTAAAGTTGGCCAAGGTACCAAGAAGGTACTTTGGAGGAATATCTTTAGTTTTTTATAATCTCCAAGATAATTCTAAGCAGGAATTAAAAAAGAACGGGAAAATTCTTACGAGAAGGTGGCTTTATTTTTAAGTTTTTAACAATATATAGTTGCTCTTTGCAGTCATATGATTCTGGTTTTTCATGAAAGATAACTGAATTAAATACAGATATAAAGATATCTGCTTCCCAGGTGGCGTAGTAGTAAAGAATCCATCTGCCAACACAGGAGACCCAAGAGACGCAGGTTCAAACTCTGGGTTGGGAAGATCCCCTGGAGTAGGAAATGGCAAGTCATTCTAGTATTCTTGCCTGGAAAATTCCATTGAGAGAGAAGCCTATCGGGCTACAGTTCATGGGATCACAAAGAGTTGGACACGATTGAGTGACTAAGCCCATAAAAATACAGACAAAAGTACTGATAAAGATATAGCCATATAGCAGATCCTGAATTTTTAATTCATAAACATATGTATTTCAATAAAAGAAATTTTAATATCAAAAAAGGGAGAGAAGTCCTTTATTTTCATCTGCAATCTTATAGGTGCATTAATTAGAAATCAACTTGGGGAACTATAAATAGTACAAAATTCCATCTGTTTAAAACTCTAATCTGTGGGAAATTTACAGTTTTAAAATAGAATAGCTCTTAATTCTTTTGCTTTAGAGGATGATTCAAATTAATCTTTTGCATTTACACACCCATTTGAAACATGCAGGGTTAAAATGTCCCAGGAGTGAGTTTTGCCTGTATTTTGAATTCATGGCTACAAATATAATGACGAATCATAGCAAAAGATTTTGCATCTAGCTTATCGGAAAAATTAAGAGCAGTTAAGATTAACATACTCTGCTTATCCCATGAGATTCCTTCCCTATGAGTTTCCTGATCCTATCATCATGTTAACTAAAAAAAGACCCACCCTACCCAATTACTAAATAATTATCTTATTGTCAGAACATATCATATTGCCATTCCTATCTCTCCCATCATTTTATCATTAGATCCAAGATAAAAACACATGGAATGTTCACCATCAGTCCTTTTATCAATGTCTTTACAGTCATATTGGTGTCTAAACAGAATTTTTTACTAGATTCCTCGAGGAGAAATATTCCCTGGAATTCTGCCCATTTGGTTGGTTGTTCACTGGTGGTTTTGTTTCCTTGTTTTATTTTGTTTTGCATTTGCCTGTTTTCTTTATACTTGAAAATCAGCTTGGCTGGATGTAAAATCCTTGGCTCACCTTTTCTTTACGTGATTACTTTAAATATCATTGTCTTCTGACAAGGCATTGCTGTTGGAAGGCTTGATAATAAAAGTTTCCTTATAAATGATTCCTTGTCTACCATATATAAAGGAGATGGCTAATAGGGACCTACGCATAGCACAGGGAACTCAACTCAACCCTCTGTGGTGGCCCATATGGGAGGAAAGTCTGGAAAGGAGTGACTGTATGTGTGCGTGTGGCTGATTCACTTTTCTGTGCATCTGGAACCAACACAACACTGTAAATCAACTATACTCCAGTAAAAATTAACGAAAAAAATTAATGACCCGTTGTCTATTTTATTTTTCTTAGATGCCCAAAGAATATTTTTAAAGTCCAATGGCTTTTGATATTGGCTATCCTCAATCAACTTTACCAAGTGCCTGGTAACTCACTTAAAAATGTGTAATTTTTAAGTTTTCCTGATCTATCCTTTTTTAGCTTTTCTTCTATTCCATTGTCTATGTTTTCTCCCACAGAGGTAAGTATTATATGTCCTTGTATCTCCTTTCTCTGTCTTCTGTATCTATTATTTTCTCTTGTTTCCTCATTTTTTCAAGTTCTTAAATTTTGCCATTTTATACCTGTATTTTTCTTAAGGAATTATCTTTTACATTCATTTACTCCCATGTTACTTGTAGTAATCTTTACTTCGAAACATTTTACTCTTCCACTTTCTAAATTCTTTCCTGAATTCTACTATATCCCTTTTCAAGTCATTCTGTTCTCCAAACATCTCATGTCTGAGTTTTTCAAATTGTGGTTTATGTTGTTCTTCATAATTTCCATGATTTTGTTAATTCTGTATTTTAAAATTTTGTAAATTCTAAGCCCATCTGGAACAATAGGCTATAGATACAAGGTGATATAATACGTATCACCTGTTTTGGGGGCATGCATCCATTGTCCACAAGAAGTTAGTCTAACCTTAATTATATTTTTCATGCGACACTGTATGGGATTCAACACTTTTTCTTTTCTGTTGGTCATTTCTAAGTGAAATGAGTAAGCTAGGATAATCCTTCTAGCTTGACAGTCCTCATGCTCCTACATTAATTGTGTTCACAAAGTGATAACAGAAAATCGTCTTGTGTTTCCTGAGATCTGACTACTCTGTTTTCTTTCGCCTCTTCCTTTTTAATTGGAACTTCTCATTCCTTTGAACCTTTGTTTTGTTTTCATCTAACTCAACTTAGATTCTACTCCCAGCAGCTTTTTCTCAGAGTAGGATTTTTATCCTAGAAGGGAACTTCAATTTATAACTTTCCCAAGTTTATAGAACCCCAAACACTTCAATGTTTTCTCCCGTTGCACCCACCCACCAGTAAACTCAAGTCTGTACAATCCATCCCCTTCTACCCCAGTTTCACCAGATGTCCTCCAAAGGCCCACTTCACCCTCTGCTATTACGGATCCACTTGGTAGTGTCCCGTTCTTTGGTCATCAAGTGGGTCCATTACTTTCCCCCATGATGCTGACATCATACAGGTTCTGAAACTGTTGATGCTTGGTCCCATTCACATTTGGGACTTGCAAGGGTCTCTCACCACATAATCATGGGATTTTAATCTTTGCTATTCTAATTGATCTATCTCATACAGGGGGATTCAAGAAGATTCAAAAACTACATCTCCTCCTGAAGCATGTTTGCTAGTGAACATATTTAAAAGGAGCTGTGTCCATTCCAAAAGGTTCTAGATGAGACCCATTTAACCCATAAAATAAAAGAGGTTATCTTAGTATGTTCTGGGACAGGATCTACCTACCCACTAAAAACTATCCATCTATTATATCAGTTATATCTATGTGAATCAGACTCATAGCACAGTACAATGTCAGTCATTAAATTAGTGGTAGAATGATTGACTGAAAAAAAAAATACAGTTGATGGCTCCCTAGATAGCTAATAAGAGCTGAGAATGAAAAATTACCACTCCTACTGTGATGAAAGTGATTATTTGGACACCAGTAGACAAGCAAAGGTGACAAGGGGGAAATGTCATCAAAAGTAATATCTAATAACAAAAATACCTTTATGACAAACTGTCATCTTTACTCACTTTGTCGCAGAAGACCTTGATCTGGCAATAAGCTCTATGAATGGGTTTATTGCTACGATTATTATAACTGTATGTATCAATTTGAATCATCAAAGGAAGTCCTTTCACTCCTTTTTGGGAGGAGAAATCTGTACTCAGGCAATTCACGGTGATGAAAATCTGAGGGAGGGAGGAAGAAAGAAAGGAAAAATTTCACAAATCACCATAAAAAAGATCTATTAAAAAAATGCATAAGCCTTAGACTTAAAATTAGAATATTAAACAAACCTAAAAGGACAACTAAAGAATATGTGGATATTCTCACATAAAACTAATTATTAAATACATGAAAATGATTTATTATAATTTCTAGTTATAAATACATAAAATTTTTGCTTTTATATTTAAACTTGAAACAGACAATTTAAATTTATCTTTATATCAGCAATGCCTTATTTTCCAAATATGCATAAGTTAGTTGGGTGAAACACTATCTCCTCAACATATTAAAACTGTAACTTTTAACAATTACATCGATTTCTATAATCTCTGACCTGTGGGGTTAAAAAAAAAAAAAGGCTACACAACATCTTCCTTTGCATCTTATTGCGTCGAAACATAGTTATTTCTTTACACATCTATTTTTCTTATTTTCATGAGAGTATAAGATTTTAGACAATTTTTTTATTATTTTTGTATTGCTGGTACTTAATGTAGTGCCTAGCAGAGAATAAGCATTCAATAAACATCTGATGAATGAGGTCAATGAATGTATCTAGAAAGCCCACTAGACTGAGAGTCAAAAGCCCTAGGGTTTAGTCCCAGTTCTAACATTAACCAGATTTCAGTCAAGTCATTTCTAGTCTTTGGTTTTCAATTTTCCTGTTAAGTCATTCTTAAGCCCTCCCCAAAGAATAGAATATAAATGCTAAGATGCTTTCAACTTAGTGAAAAAGTAAAAGAGCTGACAAAGACAGACATGGAACAGAGGGAGGGATGGGTAGTAAAGACATCAGCATTCTCATCTTACAACATGAGGTATCAAGAGAGACAAGCAAAATGATATGAATCTGAAAAAATGGAACTGCCCAACAGAAGTAAAGATAATAATCTCATTATAAAATACTGAGAGGAATAGAAGGAGGAATACAAATGACTAAATTTATCCTCCTTTTCTATAGTATATAGATGTCAATATATACCACTTTATTTAAGGGGGCTTTCCAGGTGGTGCTAGTGGTAAAGAACTTGCCTGCCAAAGCAGGAGACAAGAGACTCAGGTTTGACCCCTGGGTCAGAAAGATCCCCTGGAGGAGGGCATAGCAATCCACTCTAGTATTCTTGCCTAGAGAATCCCATGGACGGAGGACCCTGGTGGGTTACAGTCTATTGGGTCACAGAGTCAGTCATGGCTGAGTGACAGCATGCACGCAGGGATATAAGGTCAGCACCTAGATTTATCTGGTGACTACAAGAATAGTAGAGGCAGTCTCTGGGGAAAAACAGGCACAACAGATTACATCTTTGATGCTATTTTCAGTTAATACTACATGTATTATTTGTATTCAACAGAAAACTTTAAACTCACTGATTTAAAATTGTACAGTTATGTATTCTGAAAACCATCTCATCAGATGTATTATCTGACTCTTGTTTTATTTGGTCCCTTTGAAATCTTTATTCACCTTCAAACCCTTGTCCTAAAACCTTTCATATCATAGCAACACCCACAGAAAACACCCTGCAGAAAGCAAAGAGCCACTTCCAGGAGCTGCATTTTAAAGGCTATTCAAATTTTTGATCTAATTCATTTCAGGCCATATCCCTGGTCGGCCTTTGGAAATTCATAGAACCAAATCTCTCATTTTTAGTGCTATGTCTATATAAAGATCGCCTTTTCCTGAGCCCCTTGCTTAGCAATAGAGACCCATTAGCAAGGCAGCACACCACACATCAACAGCAGTCAAGCCCAGATGACACGTCTTAGTGACACGCTAATTACAACTATGGACACCATGACACAGGATACTTCTCTAGCTGCATCCGGAAACAAGTGCCTAAAGATGATCTAACCATAAATATGGGCACTCCATTCATTCATTCCTCTTTCATTCATTCATTCTATAAAGATCAACACAAGTTCACAGTACTTTGAACACAATGTTAGACACTGGGGATACAGAAGAAAGCAGACCCCAGTCTCATGGAGCTAACAGTCCAAGGGGAAGACAGATGAGTAATCCAGCAACGATCAATACAGAGTAGTCAGGGCTCCCCAGAGAGAGATGTGTACAGAGGCCATGAGAACCCAGAATACTGAACTTGAAAGACACAAGTGAAATACACAACCCACAGAGACACTGGGCTGAGATTAGGGATTCCATAAACACTTGTTTATTATTTAGGAAGATAAAGAGAAACTAGAGATGCAAATGTCAAGTGATTTAGGAGAGCTAAGTGATGAAGACCACTCAGAAGGAAGATGCCATGCTGGTTTTTCCTACTGAATTTCCAGGGTAAAAGGAGACAGAAGATGTCCTGACTGCAAAGAACATTCACTCACGCCACAAATATTTTTAGGTATTTACCACGTCTCTGAGACTGAGCTAGGTACTAGCACAGGTACAACAACAACGGTCCCTGCAATGACAGAAGTTGGAGGCTAGCTTCCTCGGTGGCTCAGCGGTAAACAATCTGCCTGCAATGCAGGAGATGCAGGTTCAATCCTTGGGTTGGGAAGATCCCCTGGAGGAGGAAATGGCAACCCACTCCAGTATTCTTGCCTGTAGAATCCCCTGGACAGAGGAGCCTGGCGGGCTTAAGTCCATATGGTCACAAAGAGTTGGACACGACTGAGTGACTATACACACACACACACGCACGAAAGATTACAATAACTTCACAAACACCAATCTTTAGGTCAGAAAGTAAAAGCATACTTTTCTAGGAACACTTGACGTCTTTAATTGTGATTGTCTTATTGGCGATGGGGTTTTTCTTGGCCAGAATGTATAAATAAACACAGCTTTATGTCAGCAAATTAATGATTACTCTGGTGAACTATGCAGTTGTTCCCATCTGGGGCTGTGTATTTCATGTAGAAATCTTCCTGTTGGTGGCTGTAATTGACAGAGTCTTCAACCAAACTGGTTTTTTTCCCTTTCCTTCATAAAGCCTCCTGAGTCCTGCAGGAGCCAGAAGAGAAAACTGTTCTGTATTTCCCAAGCTAAAAGGATTCATGGCTGGCTCACTGATTGATCCATATGCTTACTCACCATAGACATATACCCAGACAGGCAGGAAGCAGTATTAATTGTGGACTTGTCAGCCCAAGGTCTCAGCTAAGAAAGCTTAGCTGATAAAATATGTATATTTATAAGGGCCACTTGAATAGGACAGATCTATGGAAATAATACATGCTTACTGGCAATATTCTGCGATACATGCACTAAATCATCCTTGGAGGAGCTGTAACAATGAGCCATCCAGTAGAGAAGGTCTTAATGGTGAAATGAGCTACAGCACACTGGACCCTACCAGTAGACAGTCAGACTTAGGTCCTCTTCATGGAGAAAGGTCCTTAGTAGAAGATCCAGTGGGCCCTCTTTGATTCATGGCAGCCTGATTCTACAAAAAGTAAACAACACAAGACCCTACCTTCTTTTTCTGCTATGTTATGTTACCAGAGTTATCCTAACAAGTAGGAATTTTATAATAGGGTTGGCACTGCTTTCTTCTTGCCTGGCTGTCTGACCCGCTAGCAAAGCACAGTCTATGTGCCTGATGGTATCAATTGTGGTCTCGCTGTGCTGCGCTTAAAACCCAAATGGTTGAACTTTAACTGCAATGGGTGGTAGGATGGGGGAGGGGGGCATGGAAGGACATTAACGAAAACCTAGGCTGGGGCTGATAAGCATTCATTTGTTTCATCTTGCAAACCCAACCATGTCCCAGCTCTAAACACAGCAGGCAAATGTGACAATGAATTTCTTGGAAGTTTATCTACAAAGCACTGTTTGTAAACGTGCATTACAGAAACTTGGGGAAAAGGTACACTTTCCCTCACCAAATGTTAATCCAAATGTCAAGCACAGGAAGTTCTTTTTAACTTTAGTAGAAGCCCTAATTATGTAAAGAAATTCTGTGAACAATTAGTCTGTCAACCAATAGCTGTAAATGTTGTTTTCCTATAATTCTTACAGCACGTAATTTATTTTTTAGAAAAATTTTAACTGAATCAAGTGTATCCAAGCAGATAATAGATACAATTTTGTCATTGGTTCAAAGATTGATTCCAACAGAGAGATCATTTGTAAAGGTACCAAGGCCTTTTCAGAAACAGAAGCAGTCTCATGACAATTGATGATTTTTAATAAAATCACTTTTTGATACATGGATTACAACTCTCATTTTGTAGTTCCTACACAAGAAAAGTGACTTTATCTGGGTTATAATACCTCTCAGATGTGTATTACGGGTATAGTAAGATTTATTAAAATAAATGCAGAATTAGTGTGCTTTTGAAGTGCTACATTAACTTGATTATTAACTTCCAAGATTTTTCCAAGAGCTCGCCATTAAAATAAACAGGCCAATCTTGATCTACAAAGCAATTCGGGTCTTAAAAAATCATAAGGTCTATGGTTTGATGGAAAATGTTTATTTTCCTCTTTAAACAATTGTATTTTGTGTTTTCAAGATCCCCTGATTAGAGACTAAGAAAGCTACTTATTTCCTAAGGTTGAGACTCTAAAGAGCTCTTTTACAAGAAATTGCACACATTAAGCCTCCAAATTACAGGGACATGACATACATCAAGAAATCCATATTTTCACCGTAAAACACAAAGAATATATAAACGCGTTAACTGTACTCTTGCCAGTTTCTCTACTCTGTTTTCTTCTTGGTTCTTAGAATTATTAAAGGCCTTATAGATGGTTTTCTTACATCTTAGCATTTTTTTCCCATTTATATGATTACATTTGGTGCAAATCCAATGCCAAATTGAGACAGAAAGATAAACTAAAAGCAAATAATATTAACATGTGAAATCTCAGTCTTAGGCAATTATTTGTTTCCTCTATGTATTCATTCACCAAATATTTACTGAACATCTCTCTGTGTCTGCCATTATGCTACAAGGCGGGACATAAGAATGCTGAGACAGACTCCCTGCTCTC